AAAACTTACTTTTACCTAACTTACACTCCTTATAGTTGGTGTAAGGAATAGTAACACCCATGTCCTTACATATGGTCTTTATGTTTTTAATATGGACCTAACTAGTTAGTAACTAGTCTAGAACTAGTTAAGAACTAGTAAATAGGGAGTACTTATAGTTCCATCCTTCTTCTTAGGGAGGGGAGGGAGCTTAGATGTGTTATTAGGTGGGTTGATATAGTTATTATAAAGCTTTTGGTACTAAGCTATAACTAGTTAGTAACTAGTCAGGAACTAATTAGGAATAGACTTACTAATTACCTCTTGCTACTCTGTAATTAAGGGAGGACCACTAGTACCCTTCTTAATCTTATATATGGTATGCAACTTTGAAATATGCTTCTTTAGATTATTTAATAAAGAGTACACCTCCTAAAAAGAACTAGTTAGTAACTAGTCTATGTAAAAGATAGGTGTATACATACTATAGCCTTTAGATAGTTTAGAACTCAGCAGAACACCTCTCTAGTAAAAAGGATGATGAAATTATCCTCCTATTAACTAGTTAGTAACTAGTTAGTAACTAGTCAGAAGGATGACTTACATCTTTAGTGTATGCTGGGAGGGTAAGCTTGTCTGGCCCCAGCTTAAGGTACTAGAGATATGTGTTCTATAGTTTAGTTAGCATTCTAACTTATCCAGAACTAGTTATAAACTAGTTAAATAGTTAGAGTAGTACTTACTAACTTCTTAATAAATGCTATTGTGAATGTAAACTAGTTATGAACTAGTTATAAACTAGTTATCTGCTAGAATTGTGAGGTAAAGGTAAGGTAATAGTGAGATTTACTAACTAGTTCCTAAGTAGTTAGGAACTAGGTGCGTTGCTAGAATTGTGAAATGAAGGTGAGAGTATTTAGAAAGTAGAAGACTGATCTTTTAGGAAGAAGGGAAGTGATAATGAGAATAGCAGGGAGAGAGAGAAGGAGAATAGACTAGTTATTAACTAAGTAATAACTAGTTAATCAAAAAAAAAATTGTAAGGGGGGGGCGGGGGGGGAGATGAGAGATATGTAAGAAGGTAAGTTACTGTAAGGAGGTCAGCTGACCTTTAAAGTGGAGATTAGTTATGTGATCTAGGCTTGTCTCATTCACTGTCTCAGCTATCTTGGCACTAGCTGAACTTTTCCGAAAGGTCGGCTGAACTGTATTCTGAGTGCTTTCTACTCAATACAGCAGACAACGAAATATGTCTAAATCTTCTTTCTAATGGTTCTTCTCCCTCCATACCAATGCTACCCACCGAGCCTGTGACAGTCTCCCACAATCCCACAAAATGGGAAGCCTCGTTAACATGCTTAACCATCCGAAGGTCTACTAGTCAGTCACAGATGCAATTAGTCAACTGTTTCCAGCAATCAACACTAAAACAGGAGAACAAAGTAGCAAGGCAAAGCTTACCAAGATTACTCCCTGCTATACACTTATGCAACTCTAATTAGTCCGGGACATCAAGGACTGGTAAAGGGCACCATGCTTCAAGGAGCACAGAAATTAATGCTTCATAATCATAGCATGCTACTCTATGGCTTAGTAAAGTAAGGCTGTGTAGAACAGTTAGTTAAGGCCCTTAATATATTTCAGTGGTGGTGCATCTGCTAACCTCTCACTTTCAAGGACATGCAGGATATCACAGTCGCCATCACTATATCTTTCCTGCTATAGCTTTTATAGAGCATAGCTGGCGAAAAATATAGATCGTTCCTGTCTTATCATGGTAGGAGGACCACGAGTCCGCATGCAGGAAGAATATAACCTGGGCATTAGCAACTTTGCCAGCAACAGTTGACACCGTGCTGCATTTGTCGCACTCCGTTCCTGAATAGAGCGGGCTAGCCTGGCACTCAAGAGTAGTGGCCCCTATGCCAGTGGATTCAACTATAAAGTTCTCCTTGCAAAGAAACAGAGGATTAAATTCAGACGTGTACTTGTAGTGCTGGAAACTACAGGGTCTGAACTAGTCCTAGTACTGATTAGGGTCGTTGACAACTATATTTATAACTAGAACCCTGTTTTATATCCTTACGGCTGATTTTTTTTTGATAAACGCTTTCTGTCCAAGACACAAACAGAAGGCAGGGAACGAAACCTCAGACGCTTGAGACACGCATATTATTCAACGCAAAATATCCTGTTTACCCCATCTTTACCCACACGCTCGTTAAGGAACCTTTATCTGATCCCTTACTTTTTTAGTAGATTAACACAAATGATGTATAGATAATATAGTTTTATATGTTTATATATAGGGGCACACAACCAACAACTACTAAATGGTTAGGAGCCATATCGTATAGTTTCTCTATGAGCTGCTTCCTCTCGTTTCACAATGGGAGGAAGCGGACAACGTTAATCAGAATACCAGATCTAATAGATATGATCAAGCCATTGTACAACACAAGTACTACTACTTACCGCGCTGGCGCAGGAATGACGTCTGTTTGTGACATATTTGAGATGCAAACGGAAGCAGTGGTCTTACACAAGTTCCTGATGTCATTGACTATAATGCGCAGTTCAATTGCATGTTGTGAGGTATATAACCAGCGCACAAGCACAGCCTGGAGATTGCAATGGCGATTTAATGGGGTTTATCTTATTTTATTTTATCATTTTCTGGTTATGGATGACGCCGATCGACATAACTGGCCGCAGCCTGCCATTCCTGCAGATAATGGGGATCAGAAGACGGAAGGCTTCCTCTCCGTGAAGGACAGTCGTACAGGAGCCAAATACACCTTTCCAATCTACCGCAATGCGGTGCATGCCCTCAGTTTTCGACAGATCACTGCTGATGACAGTCAAAATGCAAGCCAACATTCCAAGGAAGGACTTCGCGTCTTTGACCCTGGGTTTCGGAATACCGCGGTGAAGGAATCCAACATTACTTACATGTGCTTGTTCCCTGCTCCTAACAACTCACTATCATGTCTAACTGACCTGTCGAATTTGCCATTACAGCAACGGAAAAAGTGGCTTACTATGCTACCGAGGCCACACAATTAATGCACTTGAGGGGAAGACTTTCGAAGAGATTATCTATCTCCTCATCTGGGGAACACTGCCGTCTCAAGAACAACTCCAGCACCTTCAGAGATGCATTGCAGAGGAGTGCTTCGTCCCTCAAGTAGTTGAGGACGTTGTTACCAGCTTCCCGTAGGACTCTTCCCCTTACTATATTCGTCGTTCTGGCCTCAGTTGACGAATCTGATGCTTCCGCAGACGGGATTCTCCATCAGTAGTCATCTTTATAGCGGCTCTCAGCGCCTTCGCAGCCGACCGACCTCACCTGGTACCCTCGTACGTAGGACGCAACCTCTATGGGAATGACATGAAGCTAGTGGACGAGCAGGTCGTGCGCATCCTTGCTGTGGTTACTGTAACAGTCTCCCTGATCGCCTGTCACAAAACTGGACGCCCCTAAAATCAGCGGACCCCAGCGCAAGTATGATCGAGAACATTGTACACATGAGCGGCCTTGCAGAGAACTCGAGAGTGCCTGCCGCTACTATTATCGCCACTCTCCAGCGGCTATGGATTCTGTACGCAGACCATGAGATGACATGCTCAACCGCCGCTTTCCTGCACGTGGCATCGACCCAAGCCGATCCAATCTCCTCATTTATCGCGGGTGTCGCGGCGGGGTATGGGCCCCTACACGGTGGGGCGATCGACACTGCCTACAGTGTCATGCGAGAGGTCGGGACAGCCTATCAGGTCCCAGAGCTCATTGCAAAAGTCAAACGGAAAGAGTGTCGATTGTTTGGATACGGGCATCGAATCTACAAAGGGACGGACCCACGTGCAGAGGCGATCAAGGAGATTCTTCATGACCTCACGCGTGAGGTCCCTGTAAATGAGTTGGACCCGCTCCTTCAGGTCGCATTCGAGATCGACCGCATTGCTAGCAGCGATGATTACTTCACTGCTCGCAAAATTTTTGCGAATGCTGATCTGTATGGTAGCTTTGTCTACACTGCACTGTATGTCCTTTCTTTGCTCTGAGTATCCAACATTAAAGAAGTAATCCCTGCTAATGCAGTGTGGTCCTTGTCCAGGGGCATTCCTACAGATCTAATTACCTCATTGGTGATTGTTTCACGAAGCCCTGGCGTTCTGGCCCAGTGGAGGGAGTCTGCTGGTAAGTTCACAGCTCATACATTGTATTCCCGTCGAAGAAGAGGACTCACTGATTTCAACATAGGTCGGCCCCCGGCAATATGGCGGCCCCAACAGATCTATACAGGGTCGGAGACAGGTAGTACCAGTGGAAATGATCATTATACAAGCACTAAGGCACAAAGATCATCAGATAACAAAGAGAAAGCACCAGGTTCAAAATTGTGATCAGACTGGGATAAAAAGCTCTGACTTTATGTTGATGTAGCATGTAGTAAATTTGATCCTTTATATATGGAAAATTTACAACATAAGACTTGTTATGAGAAGGCTCTCATGGCTGTCTGAAGCGTCCCAGCATGGCGCCTTGGAACCCCCAATTCCAAATCCAACCACTGTGTCCGCCCACGCCTGTTGCCCCAACCTCTAACTAAGGGTACTACTTAGTCCATTTTATTATGATGCGTCTAGAATGATTAACCTAATGCCCTAATCTACAAATTAGTATTATCTAAGGTAAATAATAGTATTAAATTAATTACTTATTTAACTAAAGCTAATTAGTAATTACTTAAAGATAGCTAAATATGAAAGAAAACTATAAACTAATATTAATTAGAAGAGCCTTATTCTACTAAACTTAAAGAATTAAAGGATTAACTTAACTAAAAGAGCTTCTTTAACTTTATAAGCCTTTGCTATGAACATGTTACTGTTTGCTGGAAGTTGGTATAGTAGACAAAAAGCCAGAGGTGGAACAGTTTGATTGTGAAGCTAGTCAAAGTGAGTAGTATCCCTGCATGCTCTATTAATGAGATCATATGATAGCTTCCAACTTCCAACTTCCATCTTCCATCTTCCTTCTTCCATCTTGCCTTCATTAACAGCTCTAGTGTTATGCATAAAACTGGTCACATCGACATGTCTTTTCAGAAATCTGCCACATCCCCAGCGTGTCCAGCACGTCGGTCCTATCGCCGTTCTCCTAGTCACTGTCCTTTAATTGCTTTCCTCTTCCTGCCCCACTCATCCGGTTCTGAATTAATCTCCATCTTGATATCAAGAGACTTTCGGTGCAGCGTCAGCACTGGTGGTGCCCGTAAGGCAGTGGTAAGAATCGCCAGCGTAAAGAGTTAACGGCCCGGTGCTTTGAACATGATTATGGCATGGAGGACTTGTCTGTGCGATCTGTGTCGCAGTACGATCCGGCGGCCTTGCGTTGTGCATTGACAGCCTTGACGAGCTTGCCCAGAATGGCATACTCCAGCTTCAGCTTGACGCTATAAACCAGGCCCTTTAGAGTGACTTGGATTGCGTAAAACCCTGAGTACTGAACTGCAACGAATGAAGCATCCATCAGGATGATAAGGATGTTGATAACCAGCAGTTGATGCAGTATACCCCAGTAACGATTTCTGACATGAGTCTTGAGAAACTCAACTGTTTTGCAGATGTATAAAACTGATAGCAGAGCCTCCTGAGCAAAGAATCCGATCAACTGTACCCTTTCCATAATTTCATACCCCTTCACGAATGCCCGGGGACGGCTCGGTGCATTGGCGCCAAAGGCAAGCACTGTGGTAGGGATATGGAGTACAAAAGCATCGACGACGATCATGCACAAAGTACCATGCAGCACCTTTTGACTCTGAATCAGGAGGTGGAGTCGTGACCATAGCACCATAGACTGGCCGGTCACCATGCAATACCATCCAATGCTCGCAAACGTTAATGAGATGTTATTGTTGTGGACGACGTTAGAAAGTTTGAGGATCAGGCCAAGATTATAGGGAATGATTCCAAGGGTTGCAACTAGCAAGGTCCAAAAGTAAACGTCCCTCCGTTTGAATCTGGTAAAGCAGAGAATCAGGAGCTCGATGATGTTGTAGGAGGCAATAGTGGTGAAAACAGAGACAAGGACAGACTCAAGACATGCTCTGCTAGTGTAGATACCCTCTGTGAGCCCATGGTCGCTGTCCGACGCGGTGGAATTCGACATGAATGTCCACACGCTAGGAGTTGGTTAGAGAGTGCATCTAGGTAGGAGAGTCGGAGCGTGGTTGTAGAGATCGAAATTCGCCCTAGCACATAAAGAGCCAGTTTTGTTAAACCCTCGATGGATGTCGGCTGATAGTGTGGCGAAAACAGTAGCTATTTAAGCTTTTGGTCTGTCAGTCTATGTTGGAAGTGTGATCTGGGCCAGATCTGGGCTACTCTCTTTTTTGGTTTCCTCCAGAGCACGGAATGATCCTGGCTAAAGTGGTCCTCTCGCGCCGCAAGCCAAGGTGGCGGATAGGCAACGGATCTTAAGAATTTAATTGGTGAGGGAGTTATGGTCACGGCATTGGCCCCAAACTTAGACACTTTACTCCAATTGAACCCTTCATATCGCTGAACTCTTGTAGCTCTGCACAAAAGTCCGCCTATGTACTGAAGCATTATTGAATGCCTCGCCCGGGAGCAAGTCCTTTCCCAGCCGGTTTAGGGTCAGTTTTGAGCCGTTGGGAAATTTACAGTCCTCACGGGCCGTGGGAGCCGAGTGATTTTATGTGTGCTAAGCACCTCTTTGAAATATCCGAGCAATGGGGTCGGAGGTCGCAGTTCTGTAAGCCTTCCGCAATATCTCAATCATGCGAGCCACGCATAAGTATCAGTTGCACTGTCTCGGTTGGTGGAATATTACCACAAGGAAAGAGAAAACAGATTGCATTGCATCCTATAGCTCAGCCAGACAGGCGTTTTGGTTTTGCCTGTGGGAGGCGCTCCCTCAGGCTCTGGTTCTGGACCAACCATGTTTCTCTTGAACTTAAATCCGCCACCAAGCATCGAAGACTTTAGGACCATGACGATTATATTCAGTGCTACATGGTGGTGTGCAAGACTTATCACCCGCCTGTTCTCTCAATTCCGAGCCCGATACCACTTTGAGAGTGATCATTCCCCTATAACAGACAAGAGACGTGGTCGCTTACCATGCCTGGCAGCAACAACGGCCTCTCTGGAGGTGTCTATACTAGCCGGCGGTGTCTAGATGAAGTCCTCTTTGCGACCTTCATCGGATTGGCTTGGTACAATGCGATAGAGCTCATTGTTCTTTGTTTTACAACGTTCAAACGGTGGAGGGGCGCTTACTTCTGGAGTCTTCTTGTCGCATCAACCGGTATTATCCCATATGGCCTCGGTTTATTCCTGAAGTTCTTCAACATTGTCCGTCATAATTATCTCGGAACACACACCCTGGTGACCATCGGTTGGTGTTGCATGGTGACAGGTCAATCAATGGTCCTGTGGTCACGACTCCATCTGATTCTGTTGAATCAACAATTCCTACGCGGCATCCTCTACTTGATCATCTTTGATGCAATAATATTCCATATACCGACTGCGGTGGTTGCATTCGGCACTAATGCACCAAGCCATCCTATCGTTTTTGTCAAGGCATACAATGTTCTTGAAAGAGTACAACTGGTTGGATTCTGTATCCAAGAGACATTCCTATCCGCAGTATATATCTGGGGTACATTGAAGTTCCTAAGGTATACTGATGGAAACCGTTATCGGTACATCTTGCATGAACTCCTCATCATCAATGTGATTATTATTCTTCTGGACGCCTCCGTGGTTGGCACGCAATATGCCGGACTGTATTCCGTGCAAACCACCTTCAAGGCGTTGGTGTATAGCATCAAGCTGAAGCTCGAATATGCTATCCTTAGGAAGTTAATCAAGGCTGTCAAGGTGCCTCCTGCACCACAGCGACGCTCACCAGACCATCCCAAACCAGCGAGCGGTACATCAGAACAATCCGAAACAGAGAAACGCACTGCAAGTCCGTACGAATGCACAGGGGCTCGCCTAAGCATGCCGGAGGTGGCGGCGGGGCCGTCAAGAGTCCTTTCGACAACCACCATAGTCTTTGCTCAAAGCTTACAGGCGATTGGGCAAGGCTCCCACAGGGAAAAATACAGCGATATCTCAACGCTGCTAAGGCCCAAAGGGAATGATTAGGAAAAGGCAATTGCACTACTTTTTACTAGACGGCATCACAAAAATTGCCCCACCACTCCGTGTACATACTGTCACACCATGGGTTCTCGTTCTCTCCTCAGCGTTCAGGTAGAAGGAAATCGGAGTAATTAAGTGATGAGTGTCCATAAGGATGACTCTCTCTTAGCTTGAGTATTCCCTGTGAGTAGTCAATTTTGGCGGTATCCCGTGAAAGTTAGTTGCCAAAGGGTGGAGACCTTTCGCAGGTGATATCTCAGCAGGATACAGATTCTCTGAAGCCTAAAGAATCCCTAGGGAACCCCTTGAGCAGGGTACCTCCGGCCTGCTCACAACGGGGGAACATGGAATTAGACTAAAATTGTTACTAGGTTATGTATAAGGAGCGACCTTGTTACACGGTTATCCTATGTAAAGAGGGCCTAAGACTAAGAGCGCCTCTTAATCATTCACACAGTTATACAGACCTAAAATATTCTTCTTTCCTACCCTCTTCCTTGTCCTCTTGACTACCTTCTTAAATACCCTCTCTATCCACCTACAGGCCACTTTACTAGTAGAACCTACCTTAGACGCTTCTAATCTATTGAGTAAGTGAGTTAGATCTTCTTGGCTATTCAAGCTCTTGAGAATGAACTATCATGCTTTAGGTCTCATATCTCTGCACTGTCGGCCGCTTCCCCTCGTCGTAGCAGAGTCTGATATGGCTTTTTCATCTGCCACGCATGTAAGTCTCTTGTCCGGTTGATGATACCAACTAATGCCTCGCGCTCCTCATGATCAGTAAAGTAAGCGCCGTACAGAGTGATAGCAATGACTGCGTTTGCCAGGCAGGGTTGCACTTGTAGGCGATTCAAAGCGATAGCGCAGAGATTGAGGATGATTGATCAAACTTGAGCCTCTGCTTCGTGATGAGCCGCACGATTTGCTTTTCTAAACACAGTCAGCTACTGAACAAAGCCATCTTTCTTCTCGATATCAGCTTACGCAAGTTGCAAATTCCCAGCAGTCAAGATCATTTGAGCCTGTTGGAAATGCTGTACTGCCGTCGCCTGGACATTGAAGCTGTACCAGACCGTCGGAAATATCTGGCCTTTAGCTCGATCTGCCTTGAGTTCAAGAATAGGTTCCGTTTGACCAAGCGATTCATGAACCAGTTTCTGTTCATGCAGCTTGAGTTGTGCTGTAATTCTAGTGATCAAAAAAAGAAATCCTCTACTGAGAAGATAAAGCATACTTACTCCATCCATCAGGGCGCTTTTGCCCCCAGCGCCACTCGGCGACTTTACCGACGAACAATCATATTGTTGGCGATTGAAGCATTACGCCAACGGTCAGAATCGAATCCTAAATGCGGGAACCGTCTCCCTTGTCAATGCATGATAAATCTCTTTCCGAGTGACAATCCAATATGCGGCCGTAGCAAGTGAATGGTCGAGCCGAGAGGCGATCATAGAGTCAATGATCCTCTGAGTGGCAGCCAGAAAGTTGACGCGTTCGTCATCGTAATACTCAGCTTCGATTTTGCCTCTGCCTTTGCCGGTCTCTTCTTCCATCTCCTCGTTCTGACGTAGAATGACGGCAGCAGCGATGATGTTCTCTTGGTGTGTCGGGTCCTGGATGTTAGGGAACTCGGCCAGACCAGGGATGCATTTGAGCATATATTCAACAGCACTGGACGTTCGTAGGTGGAGGAGTAACTGCCCACCATATAGAATCCCGCAGCGTGTCCTGTATTGAGGCAGTTGACACAAGTGTCAGGCTGATACTGCAAACATAGCATATCAAAGAGTCGGGCGGTGCTGAGCCCAACAGGGAATAACTAACTAGAAATGCCGCTGATCATCATAGCGATTAAAGTAGGGAGGTTAGTACGTGTTGCATTGCATAGTGAGAGTAATATCTTGTACCCAGGGAGATACTTCCTCAATAAAGTATTATAGTAGGCAGGATTCCTGGATACCTGCAGAAGTAGTGAGAGTGGGCTGATTACTGGAAAGTAATGATGCATTATCTTCAGCAGTACTCCTTATGCTCTAGGACCCGTTGGCAAATCTAATATTATGCCCATTGCTGGTATGTTCTGCTCCTGAGTAAGAAAGTGTATCCTCATGATGAGCGTGGTTACTCATGGGCGACAATTCCGGATTACAGCATTGGGTTATTTGGCAACCAGGTTTCCAGCATAATCTCTCCACTGTGATACAATGAGGCGACGCGTTGTCAATCATTACTACTATGGAAGGCCTCAATCAATAGGACAGAAATCAATTCTGCACATTAATCCATATACTTACCATCACTGTTAAGGGCTACGGCGGCCCATAATGCCGCCGTATGCACTAAAGCGCTATGCTACATGGAATACTGTATTTATCTCTGCAAGTCGCTAAGTATCCTATAACTTAGTGATTAACTAGTTCTCCTTGCTTAGGTAATACTAGTTATCTTATTCCCTCTACACTGATCTTAATAGTTGATATCAGACTAGGGTTGTTATTTTCGCGGATTAGGCTGGGTTCTCAACTTCTCCTTGGAGCTGCATAACTGTCAGCCAGCGGCCACCGAATCTGGTAGAGGATTTACAGAATCATCTTGAATTCTGATTCGACCAATCAGATCGCGGGAAATAGATTCAACTCGCCCAGTCGTTCTCATTTGTTCTTATTGCGTTTTCCCTGACTATAAATCCTAGCACGAGATCGTAGATTAGAAGAATCAGACCTTCTTCCCTTGATATTCCGCGTATATGCGTTTACCATACAAACGCTATTACCTCTGATTGGTTGACAATAACCAATCCATTTAAATTAAATCCAACCCTCACGAACTCGCTGCGGTGCGGGTTCGGTGCCTAGCCTCGGAATTACACTGGTTTCAGTTTCCCTAGGGCAAAACTGACTCAAAGTTCAGTTAAGCCTGTTGGTTATGGTTTTTGCAGTTTTATTAGTTTAGCCTGTTTAGGTTAACTAACCCTCACTATTTTACTTAGAAATCACTAAGTTCTAGGATTTTTCTAGAAATATTAGTATCACTTGATAGCCTAGTGTCTAGTCTATCTAAACATGAAATATTAATTCGGAATATTTACTGGCTGGTGAGATATAAGGGAATAACCATTTCAGTTAATATACAATTCACTGTTTCACCACAGCAATAGCCAAGTGACATTGATACAGAATGCTTAATACTGCATGTGGATAAAAGCTATATGCGCCCCATGGATCCAAAAGACAGCCTGACACTTGGCTAGTTAGGAGAGTTTCGGCTATTGTTATTGCTAATAAGCTTTAGTTTCAGAAGTCCGCTAGCGCGCTTCCAGCTATTGTGACTAGAAAAGGCCACGAGGCGATAAAACTGGCTTCATCCGGGTGTAAATTCTCCCAACTGAGAATCGAGAATTGTACGCAATCATACTATAATGAAGTCATAATGTCAAATCATTCGACCATGCAATATAGCATCCTAAGCAAGGGCAGAGGTAGTCTAGATCAGAGGCGATGGCTCAATAATCGTCTCAGAATCAGGCTTGCTGGTACTAAGTTATTTTAAAACCCTTTATCACGCCACTCTAACGCCACTACATGGTTTAGCTTACGATGCCTCGCAATTTTTCCCTGCCATAGAGAATACCAAAGGTGAGCTTACAACGTAATACTATTGATCAATTCTATATCTGTAGATTTATTGGGTGGTCCAGCAGTCATTTTGGAATTAAAGAAAGTATACATAACTATGTATGTCCTCCTTGAGCAAGGTTTACTTGCTTAAACCCGCTGAAGTCTAGACCGGTAATGAATTAGGAATAGAGAATCAAATCCAGAAGCGTATGTTAACATGTCGCGCATCCTTAACTCTAATGACAACATTACTACGCAAAGATGATCTAATTAACACGCGCGACATCTGATTTCGGCTTTACTCAGGAATATGCAGCTGATACTGGGTCTAGAATACATCTAATTTCCAAGTCCAGAGACCGATCGTGTTGCGCATCACCTTACCTGGGCCGGACCTTACATGTCACGGCATGAGCGTCAACCATTATAAGTAGTTAGTCGACTGCATCAAAGCCGGAAAAGACAAGGATGAACTTAGATCTTAGTTCCATTGGCCTTTACTAGTCTGTACCACAAATGGTTGGTACTATACTCTCATGGCTCAGCCATCATATCTAGCAAAGAAATACGAATATCACCCCGCTGGAGCTGAAGACTTACGAGCCCCATGCCCTGTTCTTAACGCCCTGGCAAACCACGGGCTAATTGCCCGCGATGGCCGTAATATTACGGCTGATCAGCTGAAGGATGCCCTCAAGCATATTGGTGTTGGCATCGACATAAGGTTGGGCCTTGTCAAGGCTGCGTATGCTGTTCACAACGAAAAGTCGCATCGTGGCCTTCGCAACCCAGGACAGGTAAATAATTCTGGGATACCTGTCTTGAATCTGGATCAAACTGGACGTCCTCATGCGGTGGAACACGATGTTTCTCTCTCTAGAGAGGATCGCGCCCTGGGTGACTGTATCAGTCCTCACTCGGGCTTAATTGAAGGGTTTCTTGGGTATCCAAAAGAAGACTTCTTCTCTGTTTCCCATCTTGGCAGGCTTCGCAAGAAGCGGTATCTGGAGCAAAAAGCAAAGAATAAGGATTTAAAATTTAGCTACAAAACCCATATAGTGGGCTGTGCTGAAGCTGCTATACTTCAGGGAGTTTTTGGTGAGGGTGTCTTCTATCACCTTCCAGTTAAATACGCGAAAGCGGTTTTCCAGGAGGAGCGTTTGCCATTTAATGAGGGCTGGAAGCCGCGATGGAGTCCATTAATGATTCCTGAGCTGATTGTATTACTCATTGCGGTCTTATGTTATGCTTCTTTGTTTTGACTTTGATGCGCAGAGTGCTTTGGTAATGGATCTACTTGAATTTCGATTGCGGTTTCATGATCTTCTGCCACATTGACAAGCAAGGCCAGACTGTTGCATTCCCTACTTAGTGGACCGGGCCCTTCTCTAGAGGGCGCAGTTTAGGATCAACGGAGCCAAGGAGTCGAAATCAGAGTAAACCAATAAAACAGCCTTTGCTCAAGCCCTATCTGGTATGGGAACATGGCATTTACCCTAGCTGGCCGTCCAGCCATTTTGCATCTAACTCTGGGAGTTAAAGGACTTACTTGTCATTCAATCAAAAATGATTGCATAACTTGCAGCTACTAACTTTCTACTGTACTTTCTATCGGAGTACGACTATCATACCTACAATCACGACAATTGGCTCAAGATACGGCTTCCTCAGGTGTGTAAGACTACGGTGCCCATCTTCGCGATTGGCATCTTGGTCGAACGGTGAACTTCTAAGTTCAGTCTTGGTCTGCTCCACCATTTGAGCCACATTTCAGGACATCAAGAAAACTTCATCACAGCCTTTGATTTAATAGCAGACCTCTCAGAAGATTCACGAGGACAATCTTCAGTTGAGAAACCTTTACATTTTACGCAGCAGAGAGCCAGTAAACCGGCGTGATCATCGAAACTGTAAAGTTACACTGCCAATTAGAACTGATACTAATTACTGTACCACGCGTCGCATGCGGGCAGCTAGAGGGAGATTTCTGGAACATAAACCCAAAGCACACAATTGACGCTCATCCCAAAGATAAGCATGTAGAGAAAAAGGAACGCACAGCCCCGGACGAGAATGCATGCTTGGTGGTAGCGTTTGCTCGTGAGAGAAGAGCTGAGATCATCAGCATGCATAGACTAAGGCCACTGCAACCAGCCATCACTGTCCTTTGCATCCGATCGAGGGTAAAGGAAGGCAAAATTGAACTGAACATAAACATCATATTGATACAGCCGCCGAGGACTTGCGCTAGTTTCTGTGACATGCCGACATTTTTAACAAGGACAGCTGCGGTCAAAAATTCAACTTGACAGAACATAGTACTGGACGGGAGCCAACAAGCTTAAATGGTGCGTAATAAACCACCAGATATATCCCCCTGCCTGGTTCATGAACTGGACCCACCAAGCCAAAGAGGATGCGACGCCTCGTCTTCACCTGATCGTTCCGGAACAAGCTGGTAACGTCACCGCCTGTTCATACTGATACCTGCTTATATAGAATAAGGTCTCCTAAGAGTATGTTATAAATCTTAATCTCTACAAAATAATGTGGTCTAGCTCTAGTCTATATAGTATCTAAATACCCTTTATTAATAAGGAAGGCAGTGCGAAAGCGTCGGTGCGCGGGGAAGCACACAATACATTACTGTCAAAGTGTATAGGCGAGCTTTAGGCTATAGTGACAAGATGGGATGTTTCGGGGGTTCCATCCTGGCTTAAGACACTGCAGCAACCACTAAAGTTGATATATAGGAAATTGCGAAATCTAGGTTCATATGTTGTTACAAACCAGATTGGAACTATTGCACCAACGGCCATTGTTCAGCCTGGTCAGTCCCAGGAAAATCGCTCTGTCCATGCATTCCACGTTCGTTCATTCAGCCCTGTCGAGTAAGTGAGGAGCAGACTATCTGTGCTGGTGAAGAATACTTACCGTAAATAATGGCATCTACAAGTCCCTGGATAGCAATGCACACCTGGTTCAACATCAGCTATGTACCTACAGCAGAGTTTCACGAAAATTACCTTGTCCAGAATGTTGATCGAGAGTGGTACGGGCCGTTTGGCAGTGGACTGGTAGATCCGAATTGCGGTGGGGATGATCCATATCATCATGTATACCGTGGGATACAACATCATGCGTTGAGACATCTGTAAAATGTCAACTATTGAGAAAATCGGCAAGGGAGTGATTGACTACCTTCTTGAGAGATGGAGCAGGGTGGACTTTTCTGAAAGACCTGGAATTTGAAGAATTGTTCGGTGATGGATCCTGTCTGCGCCTCTGAGTATCCTGCGAGCGAGACAGCATGATAAATGTGTCGTCTTCCTCAGATGAACTGACTGCCCTATGGGCTTTAAGTAGTATCCAACATAGCTGAGCGTACAGTACTATTATTGCAATGACGATGATCCATCGAGGAATGAAGTTGACGAGGAGCCGAATCCGGTCACTGGTGAACCAGCACCCTGAATACCAGTTCAGCGGTCCATTCAGTGCGTGAAAGCGTCGGAGAAACAGACATGCTCCTATATTCCCGTATCCAACAATCACCAAACCGAGAACTGCCCAAAGTGCGGACAGTCCCCATGGCAGACACCAAATGACGATCGGATGACCTTGCATCCATGCCGATGCCCGTTTGTTGTCGGAGAGTATCACATAGGTGCATATAGCAATGAGCAAAACCCAGTAGTCAGCTATGAACAAGTCTCAGTATATATTTTTGAGCCACGCAGCAAGGGCGGCTTACTCTGGATGATAAACAACTGTGCCATGAATCCATTGAAACTACAGAATGCAAGCTGGGCTGGCTGCCAGATTTCATGGCCGGTGAAATTCATTGTTGTCGAGATCATGAAGTTTAGGGCTATCATGAAATCGCTTATTCCCAGCCCTATGAGGTAGTTCAGCTTGACGTCCAGGGCTTACTGATGTAGCAATTACCAAGGATTAGCTGATGGCGGAATGTCCGCAGTGATGGAATGAGCTTTTGGCTGTTAGTATGCCTGTTCGCTCATAGGGAACGCAAAGCTCAGAACGCCTACGATGAAACTCAAGATCATCCATCCCGCTCCGAGAACAGAGGTTATAGACACCGCTAGGATTGTAATGGACAGGGTTTTCTCGGCCTCAATCGAAGTGGGCGCTGAGAGGGCTGCTCGGAAGGTGAGACTATTGTGCATGTTGGATGTGCTTCACTTCCACATAAATCATACATGATAGGGCTGAAGCGATGAGAAAAGAGCACGGATCGTCCTCGACCGGTGCTCCCAGCTTGAATTCATTGTCTACTTATGCTCTTGGGAAATTGAAATTGAGACCACCGTAGTGTTTTGAGGGATGCTGTGGGATATTTGCTTTTGACGCGCTTATCTGTTCTCCCTGCTCTCGAGATTTCCGTTGTATGGCTGGTGTAGCTCCTTATCGGACATCGACTACTACGACTCGTCTGATTTCCGCGGGAGAGCTAATACGCCGGACTTGTGATCTGTCAATTTTCGAGTTGGAGATAAGAGCTTATGCCCCTGAGTGGACCAGATCCGCTTTATCCGTAATCGCTTCCCGAAAATAGTCCCTGTCTAGATAAGGGGATGTTCCTTGAATTGGCGACTCAAATTATGATCAGGCCATATCATGGGGCTGACATCAGAATATCAGCTCCTCGCCGTTCAAAATAAGATAATGATAGTATTCCCGGAGGATGCTAGTGTCAAACCCATTCATGTTGCTTGTAAAGTGTAGTATACACCGTGGAAAGACATTTCGAATGGAGCGCCACAGAATCACCATTTGGACCCATGAGAGGACCAAAAAATGCTCCCAGTATACTACATAACTCTATCACATTCCTGCCGTGGAATAGTACTCGAGAGCTTAGGAAGTGTGACTGTGGGAGAGAAGGATTGCCGCGGAAATATATCCAATTCACATATAGGAGACCAGATAATCGCTGGAGGCAGGGATGCACGCCGCCCGTCTCAGTCGAAGGCTAGGGCTTCATAGAAGGAACCGAGCTTAAGCGAATGATGGTGATATTCCTCGGGAACTCGACGGCCAGATTGTCGGATATGTCTGTGCTAACCGCGTTATCTTGTGGATCATAACAGATTCCACGATTGATTCGTCTTGTGCTTGAATCAGACCCCTCCACTTAAACACAGGGACAATGTCCCTTGGAGAAAACCCCTTTCCTTGGTACCTGACTTCTCCTTCCAAGCGCTCGCAATGGAACTGAATTACGAATCGTCTAAATGGAATTTCCGAGAGTGGTTATGTTTACAAAGTCCCACAGCGACTATCATTGGCATTCAGTCATGGAAAACGGAGATTCCTACCGATAAATAGCCTGGGCTGCCTTATCGGAGCCATTTCTTGCTGACAGAATACTTTCAGAAGAGGACGACCCGTCCTCTAATAGCCCAGGCCTCGACAGCCCACGCAGGAATTGGTTAGCCGAAACAACACAGGAACACTACAGACCATGGTGTATGGACACCCTGGGGATAATGGTTCTCTGCGGTAGTGGCCCTGCTGACATGGTTTTTCTGGCAGTTAGTGGAGATTATATCTGCGCTCACCTTGCTTGGGGAGAACCAGCTTGCTGTACCGATAGCCCTACTGTTATGATTAGTATGGTCTCTTCTCTGGATGCTCTATATACCATTCAGTGAACCAGCAAGTCTTTGATCATAACTGCTCAATGAGAATCAGATTGTAATAATACTATCGTGCTTTCATATTCATAATGGATATTATTGAACCCGAGACTAAATGAGATCAAACCTACTATTCAACTGATAACCGGCAATGAAAACCTAGGAAAGGATAGGAAAGTTATAGAAACAGATAACTATCCAAGACTAGCTCTGAAAGGGCTTAACTGTTTTACGTACACCTACTGACGTAGAGAATTTCCGGTGTCTGAATGCTTTGGACTGAGAGCCCTTATGGTCAGGAAGCCCACGCCTATAGAGGACCAGGTACCAAGAGAGTCGAGGCGCTACGAGTACTCAGGCATAGAGCACAAACCTGTATAAATGTATTATTTTTGTTGTTTTGTCAGAGTTAAAGCAGCTCAGATTTGTAGTCTTACATCACGCGATGCTCTGCCGCCTTGCCATAGAGCCACATTGGTCCCCAGCTCTCAATCAAAACACCAGGAGCAACATAGGTACCAATCTGATCTCCCGCGTAACAATGTCTAGATCGTGGGCTGTTACCCACACCTAGATTTTTTCCTTGTATGCAGCGTACTGGGAGGCTCAGGTGAAGCAGGAGGGAAGCTGACTGGCAATTCTGATTCATACCACCACTCAACTTGGGGCAATCAGCCATTTGTAGTCCGGATCCTATTCACCCCCAACACGAATGTGGGAATCTATCGCCTTAATAAGCACTGTGTGTGGTAATCAAGGAGTAAGAAGGACCAGTGATATACCGCATAATATAGCAGAGTCCTAGGTTGACTGATGTGCATTCCACTTAACCACGATGGCGCCCTACCATGCCACCTGACACTATAAACAGCATGTCCTGTACTTTCACGACTCCCACGTCACCCAGCTCACCTACCTTGACGGCAGCTCGAGAACCGTGCTAATCGTCGATCTTATTCCCCTTTTCCATAATTTATGGCCAGGCTTGGCCAACAATACAGCTGCCCACGGGGACCTTTAGGCCGTCCTTTACCACATACACACTGTGGGGGAAATAGACTATGGAGGAGAGATTGGCCGCTATTGTGTTGATTACCAGCCCATCATGCATAGTGCCGTCTCCCATCGCCCCCATGGCATTTAGATCCGTGATTTAGGCTGTGTCAAGGTCATAGTATTTAGGGCGTCTCTGAGTAAAGAAATGGGGTTTAATATAACTGGTCTCAGCCAGCAGGGAGGCTGTTCGGTTTATAGATATGAGGCTTTGGCTGTTGACAAAGCTGCTATTACCAAACACAAAATCACCAAAGATTATTTCATGGAGCTCACATGCTTGGGTACTTACTTTTGACCACCACCGATGATCAGCACCTCGGGGTCAACACGGTTGATGGCCTCGGCTCTATGACTCTCCCAGCTAGTGATACCGGTCATGTGCGCATCTGGTGCAGCCTGCTCGGGGAACTGCTTGAGGCTCTCTGCAACAGTGTGCATGGTGTAAATTCTCCAGCCATCTTGAGTGAGGACCGCATTGATGACGGCCGAAGCAAGGACAATTTCAGTCTCGAAGGATACAACAAATTGTAACGGAGAGAAGTCAGGGTAAGGGCGAGGCACCGAAGTCGCAGGCTCGAGAAAGTCGAAATTTCTAGCGTTGGTTTGAGGCAAAAGGTCGGTAGCGGCCTTTGAGATGGCCTCTCTGAAGTTAAATGTGTGGAAGTCCCAGGTGAATAAGAGCTTGTCACGCCACACGCCTGTACATTCAAAGTCATCTAAAGTCCAGATTTCGGATCTTGTTGCTGAAAGGGTCTCACCATAATTGAGGAACAGCCCAGTGAAAGCTTGCGCATCTCCCTTTGATGTGGCTGTAGAGAGACGGGCTACGATGCCCTCCGCCTCCTTCTGAGCATCGCAGTCTGTGGAGATCTCAACGCCTAAGGTGTCGGTAGTGGGGAGACTGTGCTTGTACCTGGACTAAACCCTATTTCAGCTTATGCTTCACACCAGCATCATAGGCTAGAATATATGAGCTAAGGCTGATTGTTCGATTGCGGTCACTAGGAAGTTGACAGCAACATTAATGGGGCAGCGCAGCGTTAGTCAGGCGCGTTTCTAGCTGCCCGGCTAATTTATTTGCCATGGAAATCGTTGAACTGTCTAGGGAAGGGTGTCAATACCATGAGGGCACCAGGTGTGAGGACCATAGGAACACGCAATAGGCTTGGTGTAATAAGGGAGTTTGAAATGAAGCTCTGCAATATTGTCCTAGATATAAATTTTAGTGATAAACACAGTTAAATGAGACCCTGTAACGGTGCTCGGGCATATTGAGCTTAACTAGTATGGTGTCACCCTCACTAAAATAGCTTGAAGAATCACGTCTATTGGTAGCATGTTGACCACTCTGTCTTAAGACCATAATATTGCTCTTTAAAAACCAACCCCAAGCCTTCTTCAGAAGTTGCTGCCTGCGCCTGGCATGATTCTCTTTAAGCATAACAAGAAGAGTGAGCAATGCCTCTTCGTTGACCTGCATGGTGAATCGATCTCCACACATACGGATAGCCATACTAGCCACGACCAGGCGCGGTGGGCTGTACTGGTTGATAGATCGATGCCCCATATCCATAAAACGATGGACCTAAGTGTCTGGTCCACGGAGTGCATTGTAGCATGGTGACTGGGGCCCATGCGGGGTACCTTTGGGTTGTGTACTACAAGCAGAATCCTCGCAAGTTCCGAGTATTGAATACCAGCAACGTGGCAGTGGTTGAGATACCAAATCTTGGGAAAGGCTTCTCCCCGCGGGTGGTCTGCCTCGCGGGCATAGATGGGAAGGAAATAGAGAGGGTGAAACTCTTCCCATGACTCATCAAAAAGCAGAGTTCTTCGTACTGAGAAATGCGTTGAGCAGATGTTGTATCTGCTGCGGCGACATGGGTGCTCTCAGCATCGGATCCAAAGCAATATCGGAGCACATCAGCGCTGTGGTTAACCAAGCAGTCAGCCCATACATGATCATCTGTGGGTTCAAAAGATCGGTAAGGCTCACACGGTCCTAGCAAGTCAGGTTCGCTTCCCGCTTTAGAGAAAGCTTGTCTAGATAAAAAAAGAAATACCACAAACAATAAGTCAGCTTATCTCCCGACCAACGAAAGTCTACCTAGGATTGTAACAGATTAGGTACGGTTATCATAGCCATCGGCGACCCTGCCCCTTTTTAGTAATAAGCCTGAAGTAGCAGAAACTCAAATAGTCGATCACGAACTCATCAGCTATATGTGTGCTCAGGGCATGTCGTATGGACATACGCGTGCAGAGAACTCAGCGTGGAGTAGAGTCTCCCCGAATTTTCCAGATGCCCAAGATTCCACAGGATCATCTTGGGGCGCGCCGTCTATCTTATTCCTCCGTGGATCATGATATTACCGCCCAGATAATCGGCCGAGAGGGAACTCTCTGCTGATCAAAAGAGGATCCACTTTGCACGCGCGCATGGTTATTTCAGCGAAACATGCGATCGCAGTATCACATTGCAAGGGTAGTAGGGCGCGGGTTAAATCACCGTCTTTGAAAATCTGGGGAAGGGCCACTTCAACTTCTGGGTTGGATGTCTCAAATGACTCCACCCCCGCAAACGAAACTCTGGAATCTAAAAGTTTAATCATTCCGGGCGTTATGAGAAAAGAGAAACGTTCTTCAAGAGGCATGATAAATAACAGCTCGAGGGCATCAGTTCGGCCCCCAAGACCCACAGCCATCATCTTGCTCTTCTCTTCGGTCCATATCACCCCTTCCTCTGCATCGGCCATGGCCATTGATGAAAATATAAAGCATCTGTCCATCAAGGCTGACGGTGAGGTGGTATCATCAGAATACAATGAATAAATTATTGCGGGATCTGAGCTTCGTGCAATCTATCTCCTACGGCTCCTCGGGGGTTAAAGCTCTCCTCAGCTTGAAATATGTCTTCGGCGCGGCGGTCCTCGCCTCTCTGGGTGGCTTCTCTATTGGCTACAATATGGGAGTCATCTCTATCATTAATGTGATGGAGCAATTCCACCACGCCTTTTGAAGCATCTGCCTTTGGCACAGAGTTTATGCGTGTGATGCTGTTGCTAGGTGCCTTTGTTGGCTGCATCTCCAGGCCCTATGTGGCGGACTGGTTCTCGCGCAAGTGAGCACTGATGGTTGTGGTTGTGGTATTTGATATTAGTGCTATTCTCCAGATAGCTGCACCAAACTATGCCACTCTTGTGGCGGGAAGATTTATTAGAGGTATAGGCGTTGGATTGCTTGCCATAGTAAGTGACTAGGCAAGTCTGTTGCATGTACTTGACCGGAATATTGACTTGGGGTTGTGATAAAGGGTGCAACTCTCTACATTTCCAAAATTGCGCCACCAAACATCAGAGGGACACTCTTAGTTTTGGAATCAATCTCCATCACATCTGGGGTTGTCATGTTTTAGATTATATTTTGCACGAGGCATATCACGAGTAAAGCATCATTCCGGCTACCCTTGTAAGCTCGAGCTTCATAAATGGAGATAGTAAGTACAGCAATTGGGGTGGTTGGGTTGGCCACCCTATTTAATACTTGCATAGAGACCCTGGATACACTCGCCGCGGCTGCAAGACACAGCGTCGATCGCGAGATCCTCCAGACAAAGATTGAAATTGAACGGCTACGACTTATTATCTGGGGACCAGGGCTGACTAATATCGACCCTAATCAACCCGAAGATGAGATCATGAGACTGCCAATGAACTCGACCTTCTCGACGAATCCCTCCGAGGCGCGCCCTGCGACCGGCTGTGGCAGGCCTTTTAGCCTGCTTCGCCCACTATATTGATATTGAACAGCTCCAGAGCCGATATGGCCCGATAGCGCAGAAGGAAAGTCAAGTCAAGCAAAGTATACCGGCGTCGACAGAAGCACCAACGCGAGAGATCGTCAAGGTTCGCAGAAGGAAGGCTCGGCATCGTGTATCCCGAGGCCTCATGTTGGAATGTCCGCTCTGTGTTAGGCAAGGTGCTGGCACCACTGTCTGGAGATCAGCAAACAGGTCATCCCAAGGTTCGTTGTTTAGGTGGCTGGGTAGGGCTCTGCCTTTCGCCCTCTCTGCCTGAATGCAGACTTGGCATCACTGTTTCTTTGTCGACACTGCAGCCTCCATTTATTCCACTACATCTGGACTCTGGCGTTGGAGATACAACTGAAATGACCTGGTCCAGGGAAAGTAACCATGGTGATGGCGGCGAGTGGACGCTACCAGCCCCTCCTGAACTAAGCCCTGATATGGTCACTGTCCAAACTATTCGCCTCTCTAGGGTGCCGAGAGCCAATTTAAGCGCCAAAGATGCACGGTATTATTCTGCACGCATTAACTACCGCCTGGGTCGCAGTTATACCTCCATAATGTTCACGCTCTACACCAACAGTGTGTTTATTGCCGCACCACTGTGTTGGGGCAGTCATAAGATAGACCCACGCGCAGCAGGCCACTACACATTCATGGTGCAGGGAATTGAGGAACTCGCGCGTATCTCCAAAAAGGGCGATGCCGCTGCTAGGATGGTAATTCTTATTATAAACAGCACAGGGGGCCCTGCCAGTAAAGTATTTGCGTGTGTATGGTGCTGTCATACTGGAACTAATGCCATGATCTGGAGGCTCGAAGGAGATAAATGCTGTTTTAAATGTGTATTAATGGTTGCATCCACAGATGATTTAGGAGCAGGGGTATTAATAGCTTGCCAGACATTTGCTTCCTTATATTCGCAATAGTCTGTGAATGAGCCATGAATTGATGTTTTAATGGTCTCCTATGAACTGATAACATTAACCCAGGTATAGTATACATTATTTTACACATGGTGTGATTCCATAGTATCTCTTTGCTCGTGCACCAGCTCTATTCTAGTTCATTCAAACTTTAGGGTTGGGTAGCTGATACCCCTAACTAATAATTCTGTTCTTTACCAGACCAACTTTAGTTGACATCGGCACTGGCTGCCTTCTTCTAATAGAGGAAAGCCTTCTTAGTTATCTTCTGGAGCTTAGTGTTTTGTTTTGTCAGCTCCAAATACTTCGAATCAAGCATTTACTTCAACTTCTGTGTCAGTGATGAAAACAAAGAATTAGATAGCATTGTGGAAGAGAATATATTGTACATGATTTTGGATACTCAAGCAGACACTAAAAGATTTCCTTTTTCAAGTAAAACATTATAAAGCTGAACTTTTAGATCCCTTTGCTTCTCTTTCTCCTGTTTCACTTATGGTAAATGCGACCTCCCTAACCTTAATGACAAATCCCTAGGAAGATTTTGCACTGTAGCTAGATTCTTTATCCAGTACAGGCAAGATCTCCATTAGGCTTTCATAAATTAGCAATTGTCAATGCTGAATCACACAGTACAGTGAATGTATTACCTGTAGGGGGAGATTACTACCGCAGCAGGCTTCTTTAGGTCTTTCGGGTGGACAGGCCGAAGTGCTAGAGTTTGCTGAATTTGTCAGATATGTTTCACTGGAGGGTTATATAATTTAACTTACCTTTGCAGTCGTTTCCGAGTGCCGTAATAAACAAGAAACGAAATGGGAAAAATTCTTTGCAGCAGAACCTGTGCTGACTCGCTAGCGGACATGCCCTTTTCTCTAAGTTTTCGGGTTCTGGAGCTGCAGAGGCCAAGCTGGCCAGGGCAAGGACTGCGACGATGTTCTTGATTTGCATGTTGTCTTCTCTGTGAGATTAATAAAGGTTAACCTAGATGGGAAATCTTCAAGGGCTTGCGTCCGTGTGATTTTGAAGGTCCTAATGCTTGCTTAAGTATACTTCAGGCCTCATGTACGTGGCGTTGCTATGCGTCATATTAACATGGTAGCATAGCATGAATAGCGCGCCTTCAAAGGTCTAGACAGGATGGATAAGTTTTATTTAGGATTTGAGTGGTATGACAGGTGGTGTTATCAATGGTCTAGACTATATAGACATGTGGGTTTTAGATGTCAATGGCATAGCAAATGAATTAGGCTTCAATTTCAGAGACGGAACCTGACTGCCTGAGCAGGCGAGCGGCTACCACATCCAACGACAGGCGCACAACTTACCCGATGCTGGCACAGGGGAGGTAGTGCCAATAGATGCTGATGGGGGTTTCATTTGGGTTCCGTGATTGGGATGAGTATAATCTAAAACCCTTAGGAAGGCACGGTCAGAAGGTAATCCTGCAAGCAGCTATGGCAATTTGAGCTTCAATGGCATATAGCATGGAGATTATATTAGGATGTATTTTGCTAGCTTCTATGACTGCCATAATACTTAATAGCAATAGTTATTGGTGTTAGTATCCAGCTGTCAGAGGCGAACTTTTTTGATTTGCTCAAGACTAACTGCTGTAAAAGGATTGACCAAAGATGTTTTCAATGGTCAGAAGTGAACCAAAGTTAGGGCATTGAAGACGATCGGATACCATCATAGTCCTAACTAAATTTCCATGAATGGAATCGACCATCATCCATGGATCAGGCGGTTTTTCCATATGATCCTTTTGGCATCTTATGAGAAATCCGAGGTTTCAGGATCTGCGTGCAGCTTAGACTGGGCTAGATCTGGGGTTGCCGTCGGATCATCCCATTACCAAGGTTCATAGATGCTGTCGTACGACCACGTGAGCAGTGGCGTATATCCATCTCCGCTGTACGTAGCACTTAGGAAGATTATCAATCTACTGACATACAACACGGATGGCACGAACTACCATAGATGCAATGACCTCAACACTGACAAAGAGAACCATAGAGTCCATGCCTTATAATAATAATTATTACTACGCACCTTTCATTCTCACTTATGAACAACGCAGTTACAAAGGCTATTAATGGGCGGAAAATACAGCCAAGATCTTTAAGTCAGTTGGACTTCAGCAGCAAGTTCAGCAACCCTTGTCTGAAACCTTAGGTTCTTTCCCTTGTTCGCAATTGATGATATTGTTGTGCTGTATATAATAAGGGTTGGAGTAGAGTACAGTAAGAGTGCAAATTCTGTGATGTTTTTAGCCTAATGGATGAGTCAGATGACTTCTTCCATAACAACGAAGCATGTCACGGGCTAGAAGCCGGTTTGACCTATATCCTAGGTTTGGACGGTAAGAAATCGCTGAGGATGCCTAACTGAGGCCATACAGGCTAAATATGAAAAGGGGAGTGCAACAGGAAGTGAAGTCGTATGACATATCTGATTATTACATTAATTAGTACAGAGTCATGTGATCCACAGCTGGTGTCCAGTTCAGAGTTGCGTTTGGGCGAGTCCAACCCCAGTTGGAACCGAACTGCTGCGATTTCGAGCCCAAATTTGAAGAAATTAGTGATTACTAAGCAAAACAGTTTCTAGCGGTTTAACCACTGACCCCCTGGATCCGACCCTGACCTGCCCCTAACCCAGTGCGATTTCTCAATCTAGGAACAGTATCACGTTCACTTCAGCAGATCGAATGATATGGTAGTATTTAGAATGAATACTAAGTCTAGGAAAGGGAAGAGAAAGTATGTACATGGAGCAAGAAGATATCGCGGGGCAGCAGACCTCCAGAAGTAGCAAGCAGTCTGCTGCGGCAGAAAGCTCCAAGGTAACGAGGTGAATGGAAAAATGGTGATGGGACGACGACGGGCTGTCACAAACAGAACCGAACCGCTGCAAGTTTGGTGAGGGTTGGATTCGATTTTAGCGGTTCGGTTATGCAACTCTAACTGCTACTATTAGCTAATTAATTATACTACTAGTATTAGTCTATAGGTAGGCCTTATTTAATAACAGTATTTCTTATCCTTGGTTACTAATACCATGTCAGATCTAAGCATAGAAATGGCTGCCTTACTCTTAAAAGAAATATATTATTATAAAGTAATAAGTGAAATTAATTATGCCTATATTAGCTTAATAAGAACAAGCTATATAGTTAAATACTTTAGCCTCATACGAAGGTAAGAGATTAATTAAAGGCATGAGTAAGATAAATTACACCTTAATCAACTTAACAAGACCAAGCTAAATAGTCAGATACATAGTTTGGCCTCTCACTGAGGAGCAACCTCCCAATAGGAGAGACCGAGAGAATTAGTAGCTGGGATGTGCGAGGAGGAACTGAAAAGGAAAACGTTTACCTATTTATGGCCTTTTCCTATATCTGTTGTTGATTACTCTCCTTTTAAACTTATAAACCTAAATTTTTAAACTTACATACACTGTACATCTGTCACTTAGTATCCTAGAGTCTGGCCTTGACGCGATGTTTTTATTTGGTTGTTCACGGAGAGGTAGATATTTTATAGATCCCTAAGGAGGCCATAGTAAATTATCATGGAACAGATAGCTAAACCCTAAACCCAACTGCGACAAGTTCCACCTCATCACCTCGAGGGACCAGTGCGACACTATTAAGGACAGGTACGGCATCACGAACGCGCATTTCAAGGCGTGTAATCCCACTGTCGACGCAAGTATGTCTCCATGCATTCACCTAATCACCCCACATCGCTACACCAAGGTGCTAATCCATCCGTATGATAGCATGCTCCAACCTCTGGCTAGACTACTTATTTGCGTACACGTTCCAGGCGCAACAACCACGAGCTCATCCCCTAAGTCGACGCCCACAGGGCCATAGCCACAGATGGCCGGGTTTGTGAGCAACTGTAGCAAGTTCTATCACATGTAGTCAGGCGATAACTGCAACTCGTTCGACACTGCGGCGGGGATCGCGCTTGCCCGGTTCCGGGAGTGGAATACTTTGATTGAAGCGACTTGTAGCAATTTGTGGGTAGAGTACTATGTCTGCATTGGTGTGTAGCGCACTTGAAACGCGGGACATTCAATCGCATGGGCCTCTCGCAGAAAGGACAGAGAGGCCAGCCCTAGACTGCAAATGTGTAATTGTGTGGATATATTAGCTAAGGAGTGTATTTAGACTGAAAATCCATCTTCACCTAATAAAGGAGCGATTTTCCAGTATGTTACTAACATTATATAGATACAATACCTAATGCAGAGATTGATGCGATTATAGCAATCTGTGGGTCGATTACTATATCTGTGTTGGTGGTTAGCCTTCCTACAAGGGTTTATTCACCCCGAAAACACCAGAGACCATTATAGAACTACATAAGCAAGCTCCATTGCTTAAAGGATTACAAAAAGAACAGTCAAATAGCCCTCCGACCCCGCCAAAAATCGCCCTAGATTAGACTATCAAAAGCTGCTATGTATAGCACTATGTTTGCTTACTCAAGAAAACACTAATCTACATCCTACAAATAAGAAGAAACATTAGAAAGATAGATGGTTGAACCAATAATACCCCATGAAGGAGGCCCTTTAATTGAAGAAGGTCTATAGCTAGCTCAGCAGCTAAATCAGCCAGTTGAACCTAACCAGGGCAGTATCGCCAGCGCAGGACGATTTGCCTCTTCAGCAAGATCAATCAGCAACAAGGGCCCTGCCAAGGCGTAGTAGATGCAAGGAGATTGGCCACAGGATCAATTCATGTAAAAATTTGCTATATTTAAATTAATTAAGGTGTTTTGGTTGAGATATTCGGGTTTGAATTTTATCAATGGGTTGGATCTTTATGTTCCGCTCACCCATGGATTACGCTCATACATTGAGCTGTATCAGCGATTTACCCATCCTAATTATGCAGAAGAATCAAAAAATGGGCTGTTTAGGCGGCCCATGGGCGGGCCGTGTTAAGGTCGAACTTGAATTGGCTGTCGGGCCGCTGGGACACCACGTTCCAGACCTGCCTGGCTTTCAGGAAGGTCATGACACGCTTTGAGACAGCAAAGTTGTCGATTTCTGACCATTTTAACATCGGGTCAGCATCGGGCGAGGAAATGATGAGTGAATTTTCTAACCAGCAAGAAATCATAACTACCATTCCCATCCTATAGCATGCCATCCAGACTACAAGCAGGGAGAGCAGTTCATAGAAACTTATGCAACATTGTGCAATTCCTCACCATCGCGCTAGTAGCTCACTCTTACTACCAGATTACTGGTTGGATGTGTGATACTTTGTATGTAAGTAGCATTTTAAATGATACTGACAGCTTACCTTGTTGACTTGCACAGCAGTATGATGTTTCTAACCCCAACTGCCCAAGTAATAAGAACATGAAGTACGAGGTCATGAAACTTTATTGAATGGGTCACCGAGGGCCCCAAGGTAAATGAATGGCCTATGGTAGCCTTCACAGATGTTACCGCAGTTGTAGCAAGAATGGACACAGCCTGATAAATTTGATAAATTTAAAAATGCCAATTAGAACTCACAACTTCCAACTTTTCCCAGTTGATGTTAAGATCTTTCCGCACTTGAGCTACCATAATTTCACTACACCAATCTATGCTATATAATAATCGTATATACTCAAGCCTATCAGTAATATATAACTCCTTTGCCCAAATGCGATACGCTGAGACTATTATGTTGGACTGTAGCTGATATAAGGCTCTGCAGCCATGAGACAAATACCCAAGTACACTAACATCTTCCCGCTTCCCAATACGAATTCCACACGCGAATGTAATCAACCTCCATCTGTACAGCCTCGCCACTCAGAGTGCTAGAATTTGGGTGACCACGCCAATTGCCACCTACCGCAACATTGAGCAACAAGAAGTGCCCCTTGTGTGCAATTGACTCCCACGTAGCTGAGTTTTAAATCTTGACTCTGATATCTCAAAGGTCTTCTCCCCGTCAAGATACCACGACAGGGTCTCCTTTTTCCACGAATTTCTTTGCTCACCTTCCCCAGCAGCCGGCGCCTGCCACCTATTAACCTCAAAACCAATTGTATGCCAGTCACAGCCAGTCTATTTCACACCACCATTTCGAAGCCCATTATACTCCCCACAGGGCCCTCCCGGCGCATACCCACAATGGAGTGTATTGTACACTGTTGGCAAACCGTTCACGACTTCCAATAGATCCCATTCTGGCACAGCAGGCCAACCGGTAACGTAATCGGTAAGCGAGCCGCCACTGCAACCGAGCCGCCACCCAAGATTGGCTGGAGCCGAAATCGAAGCTATTTTCAACCCCTAAAACATGATTATATTGCTAAATCTAGTTATTCTTGCGCTGTGGACATTGCAATCGCTTATGGCCCAGAATATGGCAGTCACTGCAGCGTGGGGGGCCTGTTGAGGGCGTTGTTCTGCATCTACTACCTGCTCTGTAGGGATAGATGGGATAGCTTCATTAGCCTGATTCCTGCGCTGAATGAACTCCTGCCCCTCCTGGATAGAGAATCCATCTATAGCTTCTATCTGCCTCCTAGATCGCTTCCTCTTTTGAAGCTGCTTCTCATGTGCAGCACGTAGATCTTGATTTTCCTTTGCAAGAAGGATAGCATTATTCATTGCCATCTCACACCCCTTGATAATCTGATCTAGCGCAGCCTTAGTAGGGGTAGGAGGACTATATGTACGCTCCCTGAGTAGCTTCTTAAGCATGCTTTCCTGCTTTTTCAGCTGCTTAAGATTGTAATGTGTTTTTGGGATAGAATCAGTTGATTGGCTGCCTGGTGGTGTAGGGGTTTTGAGCTGGATATTAAGCTGACTAAGCACCCGATCTGGATTTAGTAGTATTAATCCAGTTGCTGAGAAGCCACTCTTAATATTATCTGATGAAAAGATTGCCGTACAAGCCAGTGGATAGGCCTCAAGGAAGTCAAGCTTATTAATATGGTTAAAACCAACTCGTGTCTTATCCTCAATCAAGCGGCTATATGCACGCTTTAGTGGAGAGAAACAGCCAATATCTAGAGGTTAAAGGAGATGTGATGAATGCGCAGGCATACAGAGTGGAATAATATTATTCTTAGTGCAGATTTAATTAAACTAAGGTGTTAGATGGCTCCCATGGCCATCAAGAATTAATAGTTGATATCTACCAGTTGTACAACTGGTAGTAGCAGGAATAAAGACCTTTTAAAGCCATCATAATCCAATCTGATTAGTTGTCCATCCATTCTCGCTAACCTCAATCCACCAGTCAGCTGGTAAGGCCATATCTTGATACCAGCCCTTAATATAGACCTTTCCCTTAAAGATAATGCATGGTGGAAGCACCTATCCAGTAGAGTTAATACACTCTATAGATATAACCCATTCGCGGTTCCCTGGCTGAATAAGGAAGGGCTAACTAAGCATCTTAGCTCTTGTAACTACCTTAGTAGTAGCTACTAAGCCTATTGCAAAGCTAGTTTTATTAAAGTTATAGATATCTTCTAGTGCAATCCCATGCTGCATTATAGTAATCTAGACATGATTAAACTATTCTAGGATGATCTTTGGGTCTTCACATTTAGCACACTGATGATTATAGCACCTAGAGAATCAGGTTTTGATCTCATCATGCTGATTAATGAAGTTATATACCCATTTCTCTCTAATAGTCTTAATAGGAGTTGAACCACGCTGTATAAGCAGAATATTTGCCATTTCTTACACATGGGATGGTCAGGGAGCTGCTCCACATCAATCCATAGATAGAATCCATCTAATAAGTGATTCCTCTTCATTTTGAGTCATTTTATGGCCATTTACGCGTGTTTCTTTGCGGTATTTAATACCCTTTAACTGATCGCGTAGAGTTGAACAAGGGGCATTGAATATCTGTACAGCCCTGCTGATTACTGAGATTCCTTCTTTTTTAGGGCTGATATTGCAAGTAGGATCCTGCCTTCCTGCTCCACTGAATTACTTGTAATTATATATGTTTTTAGTGGCATAGTAGCTGTTTGGATAGCTTCGAATTCAAACACATTGGAATCAGATGGGAAAGTGGCAGCTCGGTTGCAGTGGCAGCTTGCTTACTAATTATATTACAGCTTGGCGTATAGTCAGCCCCTAGCGCCCAGAACGCCGGCTAGATTCCTTTTTGTCTATTACTGGGAGCACAGCCCGTTCTTAGTTTGCTCTCAACAAAGAGTCTTCCGCCTGGAGTAGCAGCAAAATCTGCGCATTAAGATTTAATGCGTGCGGACGTCCATGTGCTATTAGACAAACTGTGATGTGATTGCAAGAGTGCTGGAAGGTGTGACGTGCACATTTGTGGGAGAATTTATGTATATCTCAGCCTTGTTGTTTCCCCAATTCGGGGGGGCATCATCTACTGGGTATTTTATTCTGAGGTCAAAGATCCAGTGCTCAGACGAGGGCAGTTGGTGGTATGAGGTAAACTTGAATTCATCATACCAGGTCAACTGATAATCAAGAAGGAGTTCTAGGGATAATAAAAGGCTTGGCAATAAAGACATGCGCTCTGCAACTGGATGGTAATAGTGATGAGAGAGCGCCTTGCGGGCTTGTGCAACACTGAGGAATAAATATAGGAGAGTAATGAAATGATAACATTATTAAAAAAGTGGCAGGAAGAGTAATTAAGGATTAAGAATAAAAACATGAGGATAGGGCAGTCCGAGGAGGTGATACATCACTTTTAAAGGTGGTAAAGGATAGGGGTATTAGAGAACCCCAACTTATCCTACATCTCACGCCTCTGTTTACCACACCATCTAGCCCTAGCCACCCCTTTTTGGTCCACAAAATTACCTTATGTCTTAAGTTACTGAGCTGCTCAAGGGAGTAAGTCGAACTTTCATTCTTATTTTTAGCTCAGGATGAGTTTGGGAAGGCGGAGGAAGCTTTATCTGGATCAGTCACTAAAAAAAGGAAATATGCCTTTAATTTAAATAGTCTAAAGCCCACTTAAGTTACTTCAGCCACCACAATATTATGTTAGTTGAAAGTTTATATACAGGGTGCGGCACGCCTTTCTGCATATTATCATATTACGCGTCTAATCGCATGAATGGCCTGAAATGGTGCAGTGCCTAGCTGAAAAGGATTATCATATGGCATGTTGATATGTCTGCTGTAGTGGGGTTATGAGGGCTACAACCTAGTAATATATTTACTGGTCTAACCCTAATGCGTGAATAGTGCGTACAGTCGTGGCAGAATAGTAATGTCAGAAGAGGAGCTCTAAAAAGCATATATCTATGGAATTCACCTACACTTAGCGTAGATCCAATGCATAAGGGACCTGTAGTGTAGCCTAAGTTGATAGTAGGATTTATACTAATATTTCAGATTTAGCTAGCTAAATTCCTGAAAGCAAGTGCCTTCACTCTAGTCGTTCTATCTCAGCAGCTTGACTCGAACGTCAATCATCATCTCTGGAGTGAGCTTCATTGGTTTCATGGGAACATGATACACCATAAACCCCCATAATTATTCTTGGACCATAGACCAGGCCCTAATGCGTCCCCTGGCTGCATTTTGCTGTTGTAGGGAGGTGGCTATATATTATTTTTATTAATTAGCAGGCGAAGTTGTTAAATTTATTCCTGCAAGGTCTAAACAGGGGCCTTGTTGTGCGCCACCTTCTCTTAGTCCCTTTTTATTTGTGGGTTACGCTTGGAAGGGCCCTTTACTGCGAAGCAGTGAAGGACCTAACCTAGGTTTGGTAATATGGAGGATATCCCTTTTTTTAAGCTTTAGAAAACTGCAAATAGCCTGGCTAGTGTTATACTCAAGTATGAAAGGAAGAAGATCAACCAATGTAGTAGTATTTAATGAAACAACTTAGCATGGGGAAGGAATGAAGGAGAGAGTGCAAGAGAACAAGGGCCTGTCTAAATATATATAGGATGCGTGTGGCAGCTGGCATCAACACCATGCATCAAGCACTACACATGTGAATTATCACAGCTAGATTGAATTCAAGCCTGACTCTAGCCCTCCACAATGAATTTATATTTGTGTGCTGAGTTTGCCAACGCCCTATTTAAATAATAATTTGTTTGCTTCCCTCTGTAATTTTTCAGAACTCTAAGAGAGATATGGGGGACATGAGGGTTAATTATTTAAGAGCTATTGTGAGACCTACATGACTGACAGTGAGGAAGAGGTTGAATGTCTGTATAAGTTCTCTCCTCTCCAGCTATCATATTAAACCTCCTGCCTTCGCCTACTTAATCTACCTGACAGATTAAGAATGTAATCAAGCACAACCGCTCCTTTTTATTAGGAATAAGTTGACAAGGCCATCTCCTAGAAGGTAACATCCATTGCCCAAAACTTTGCAAGGATATAACTATCCTATTAGTTATTATTCGCCACCCTCTATTCTTGTATGGTTAAGATGCTGCCGCAAGGCATTCCCCAAGAATTTCTCTAAAACTTGGCGAAGTTGACATCAAAAGGGAAACTATACTAAGAAACAGGCGAAATCTCCTTTATCACCACTATTCCCAACGCAAATCCCAAGCTCCTCTCCATAAGGCAGTTCACAATTCTGTTAAAGCCTTATTGGTTACCTGGTGTTTCCATGTAGCAGTATAGGATAATAGAATAAGGATAAGATGGCATATAATGTGATTGCAGAATATTAATGAATGGGTATTGGAAGGAGGCTTCTGATCTTATGGATGAGTAAATAAAGAATTCAAAGAGGGCCAGGGAAGTGTCATGTAGTCTGCTATAGGTTATTGCTTAGAAGTTGTAGGAAGTCCAAGGTGGTAATTATGATTTGCTCTAAGATGTTGTAAATAACAGGATACTTAGCTGCCTACTTACTAGTATTATATGGCTGAATTACACAAGTAAGCTACTTTAATAGACTTATGGGCACAGGTAGGAACTGTAAGACCTCCTAGGAGCTACCTAGATTGTCTGTGTAGGGAGTATCATATATGGAGTATCTAGGTAATAATATCACTTTTATGACTATACAGCAGGTCCATCCAATGACCTATATTCCCCATTATCAACAGTAGCTGGGCTGGGGTAATTCATAGCCCACTCTTGACATTTTTAGGAAATCAGTCAACCATGGCCCCCTTCATGAAAGTTTAATTACTACCTTACTATAGTTTTATTAATTTCTCCATTCTCTGTACTGGGTCCACTGGAAGACATACCGCA